AAATTTGAGCAAATGATAAGGCTAAGAGATTGTATGGAGGTAAATTAAACTTTGAAAGGAATTACAAATGAAATATATAAACTACTATTAAAATATAATGAGAAAGAAGAATATCTTAGGACAATATGGGAGGAGGATTTAGCACAAATAATAAATGTTCAAGAATGGGGAAAAATTTGGAATCAATGCCATTTAAAAAATTTATCCATACAGATAAAGGAGAATTATTATAAAGTAATATAGAGGTGGTATTTAATGCCAGTAAGGTTAAACAATATAAATAAAAACTATTCAAGGCTATGTTGGAGAGGAACATATATATGAATATATGAAATCGGTACATATATTCATATGTGGTGGAATTGTAGATCTGTAAAGAAATGTTTGCACCTAGTATGTAAAGAGATAAAAGAAATAACAGAAATTGATCTAGAATTTTGTCCAAAGATAGCATTATTATTATTATTATTATTATTAACATTTATTTCTAAAGCACTGTCAATGTACACAGTGCTGTACAAAGATATAATCAAAGCATTAAAATAAATAAATAAAAACCTGCCAAAGGCATATAATCTAAAAATACAAAAACAATAGGTAAAATAAAAATAATAAAAGCAGAGAACAATTAAAAACAATTAACCAAGAAGATCCACTGTCTGCCCAAATAACAGAAGGAATATATGTATATTAGACAGTGCCTGGGAATGCCTCCCTGAACAGGGTGGTCTTTAACTCAGATTTTAAAGTTGACAAAGAAGTAATGACCCATGTTCGAGAAGGAGTGAGGGGCGGCAAGCGAGAAGGGATGAATCCGGGATGGAGCAGTGGAGATCCTAGGTTGGGATAGCAGGCCTTGAGTACTAGAACGGAGGGTACGGATGGGAGTGTAAGGAGAAAGAAGTTCAGATAAGTAAAGAGGAGCTAGCACATGCAGGGCTTTGAAAGTCAGCAACCAAAGCTTATATTGGATATGGAAGGGAAAGGGGAGCCAGTGAAGAGAAGATAGCAAAGGGGAAACATGGTCAAGGCGGCAAGCCGAAGTAATGATGCGTGCCGCTGAATGTTGAACAGAAATTAAAGGGTGAAGATGAGAAAGGGGAAGTCCTGCTAGAAGGAGGTTACAGTAGTCTAATCGGGAAACCACCAAAGCGTAGAGCAGAGTGTTGGCAGTGGAGGCTGAAAGAAAAGGACGAATTTTGGCAATATTGTAAAGGAAGAATCTGCAGGCTTTGGCTGTGGCCTGGATATGGGGAATAAAAGACAGAGAGGAGTCAAAAGTGAAACCGAGACTGTGGGCTTCCTAGATCAGACGAATAGAGGTGTTGTCGACAGAAACAGAGAAAGAGAATTGAAGGAAGGACTTAGGTGGAAAGACAAGAAGCTCCGTTTTGGACATGTTGAGCTTCAAACACCAATGATGCACCCAGAGAGACAGCTGTGAGACATGAAGAAACTTGCTTTTCAAACCCTAGAGGGAGATCAAGGGTGGAAAAATACAGTTGAGTGTCATTAGTGTACAGATGATAGGAAAAACCAAAAGCGCTGATAAGATTTCCTAGAGACAATGTGTAAAGAGAGAACAGTAGGGGACCAAAAACAGAGCCCTGGGAAACTCCAACAAATAAGGGAATGGAGGACGAAGTCTGACCACCCGTGACCACTGCAAAAGATCTATATGACAGGTAAGATTTAAGCCAGTTGAGAATAGAGTTCAAGAACCCGATGTCAGAAAATATGTCAACTAAAAGACAGTGATCCACTGTGTCAAATGCCACAGATAAATCATGGAGAATGAGCACAGAATAAAGGCCATTTGCCTTGGCCTGTAAAAGATCATTGGAGATCTTTGTGAGGGCCATCTCAGTAGAGTGCTGTGGGTGGAAACTACACTGAAATGGATCGAGGATGGAGTTGGCTTCGAGAAACTCAAGACAGTGAGAATAAACGACCCGTTCCAAAACCTTGTCAGCCAAGACTCAAAGTCTGACAGGAATTGGGTAGCAGAACCAGGAGGGCGATAAATGACTGCAACCCGGAGTTGTAAAGGAAAAAAGAGTCCGATGGAATGAGATTCCAACAAAGAGAAACAATAGCTGGGGGGGGGGGGGGGGGGAAGGAAAGAACTTGAAACTGGCAAGAGTTGGACAATAAGATACCGACGCCTCCTCCTCGGCCCTCAGGGCGGCTAGTATGGGTGAAAGAAAGACCTCCAAAAGAGAAGGCAGCAGAGGTAGCAGTATCATGGGCTGGGAGCTAGGTCTCAGTAAGAGCAAGGAGATGAAATTAATTTGAAAGAAAAAGATCATGAATTGCAGTCGCTTCTGAAGCAGCAGAGCGACAGTTCCAGAGTGAGCAGAAGAATGGGAGCTGAGAGATGGGAAGGGGTCGAATAGGGATTAGATTAGGAGAAATACGTGAAGCCATAGAAAAATAAGGATTTGGCGCCCAATAATCAACAGATGGAAAAGTGACAATAAGGAAAACAGAAAAATAATAACAGATAGTACTCAATGACATTGGCTAAACACCACTGTTGCTGGATCCACAAGTCCCCCAGCTGGCTAGCCC